CTACGACGACGACGACGACGACTGTTCTGCTGCTGCTGCTGCAGGCTACCGCCAGCACTACCAGTTTTATCTGAACTGAGGGCCGGGCGAGGGCTAGTCAGTGTTTCCGTGTTTGCAGCTGTACGATTCCGAAAATGCAAATCAAAGCGATCCTAAAGGCTTGTCTTCGCTGAAAAAATTCTCCGCCACTGGTTAGCAGGATTTGAAACAGCAAGCCAAGCATGCTAAATCCTGAACTGAACTAATCTACCTCCAGTACCTTAAGAAACCCATCTGATTCCTTTCTTCTTTTTCTTCTTCTTCACCCTTCACATGTGAGCACGCAAGCTGAGACAGGGCCGCGTCTCAAGCCCAACCTGTTCATGTCTTACAACACTCGCTGCCCTCCCCGAGACACAAACCTAAAGGTGCAATGACTCTGCAGCTGGGAGCAGGGTCGGCCGTGTAAGCAATCAAGTGTTCGCGGAGGAAGCACAAGCGGGCCAACCCGCGCATCAGCAGAAGATGAAGTTTGAGTATTATATCGAGGAAAGCGTGCGCAGCCCTTTCGAGCTCTCCTTTGCCCTCTCCCAAACCGGACATGGGAGCCTGCCCACGGAAGACGTGGTCTGCCTGCCTCGTTGAGCTTCGAGATTCATCAGGAGAGGACGCACCATCTTAGTCTTAGTTACTTACATGGTCACCGTGACGCACATTTTCAGTGGTCGATGCATCTCTTCGCTCGACACGTGTGCACGATGCCAGCAGCGTGCGAGCAAGATCTGCGAGCAAGAATCTTGCAGATGGAGGCATTCACAATTAGACCCCCTCTCTCTTTCTGGGTTTGCCCTTCTCTCGGCATGTTTTGGCTTCGCTCTGAATCGAAAATACAAGGCGGGCCGCGAGAAAGGAGCTGCTCATAGAGCTCCACTTCCCTGTCACCAGGCTCCCTCGACATGCCCACGGAGGCCTGGGAGGCCCTGGCCCAAAGCGGAGCTCATGGCACGCTGTCGGCGGTTCCGGGCCCGACCCTTTGCACAGCGTGAAAGGGTGAAGGCTGGCAATTGCAGATGGCCTGGGGGCCTAGAGCATGGCCTTTCTGCTGCTTGCTGGATCAACGCTCCTGCTGGCACATTGTGGCTGCTGATTGCCACTTTGCCCAAACCGATGTATTTTCTCTGTGGAACTATGCAAGCTACTCTCACTGATGCTTTGAGCGACGGAGTTGAAGAGTCGCATATATGGTGCGTGGCCTACAATCAACATACCACAAGAGACCTAGCGTGCAAGCCCGTGTTGCTCACGCTGCGCTCTGCCCGCACACCTGCCAGTAGCTCCCGTCACATCCGCCTGAGCCACGAGCTGCCATGCACAGACGTAAAAGTGTGACTGGCGGAGCTCAACGAATCGGAACTGGGTCTTTCACCAGCCACAGCAGAACAGGCATCGCCTCAAGTGCGCATTCGGCCTCTCAGCTCCAGCGACACATGGGCTCAGGCACTTGTGCTCGGGGCCGCGGCATCCGGCAGCTGTGGGGCAAGATCATCGCAATGTCCTTCAATATGTCATAACTGCAGCAACCAGGCACAAGCAGTCGCAGGAAAGTAGCCGCAGAAAGGGCATGGGCATGAAGTGGAGCAGAGTGCACGACGGAAAGCTCAGGATTCGGTCCGTGGATGCTGCTGAAACTCGAGTCCAAGCAGTACTGGGGTCTACGACAGTCGTACCTCCAATGGAGATTCGAATTTGCGATGCCTGCACAAAGCCGCGCCAAAGCTCGCAGAGCTGCCTGCGAACTTTCCACAAGGCTTAATCGCTTTTGTTGCAATCGGGCTCCTCTCGTACCAGAAATCCGTCATGACAAAAGCCAGGTCGGTCCCTGGCAGAGCATGTGCGGTGCCGGCCTCACCGTCGCTCGGTGACACTGCCAGGGAGAGAGCGGCGGCGCTGAGCAAAGCTCTTGCTGCCTGCCACCGCGCCGCCAACTCGAAGATTAAAGCAAAAACGAGCATGCCCCATTCCCGCTTCCGCCTCTGCCATTGCCGACCTGGAGATGCTCATCCCGGCGACATGCGCAGCCCTGCACAGCGTCAGCCACTTAGTAAGTGCCCGGCAACTCTGCAACCCCTTGGCGTAGCGCCTGTTCACGAAACAGCCGCAGCTCAGACTTGTCACTGACTCCTCTTACTAGCAGAAGAGCAAAAAGAGCAGACGAGTTTCTTCCGGCCCAGCAAACCGGAATCCTCCTTTCCAAACCAATAGCCGCACCCTCTCCGAAGAGAGAAGCTGTTGTCGAACGTCTCTCCACAATGCCTGCTCCGGCGGAAGCATCGCCATGTTAATGCCATTTCATGTTGCTCGGGATGCGCAGGTCAACAGATACCAGCAGCTATGTAAGCCAGCGCCGGCCAACCAATCGCTGGGTTTCAGGAACTTCAACGACAAATCGCGCAAGAATGCCGAATCACTCCTAATGAGCCCCACTCAATGACACTTTGCGTTCAACCCTGGCCCGGGACCATTAAGTCTCCACTCTCCTGAGCGAGGCCAAGCTGTGCCGAAGCAGGACGCAACCAAAGCCTGCAGCGTCAAACGCGCTCCCATGCGTTGCTTCAAGCTGTGGCATTCCCGTCAAAGCTTTCATCAGCAGATTCACCGGACATCCCCATAAGCCGGTCGATGCTGAAGCTCCAGCAAATCTGCATCAGTTGGCACGACTGCATCGGGCCTCGGACATCCATGGCTGATGGCACATACCACTCATAATACTGGACATCAGTTCGTTTCGCAATCTGTCTGTAGTCCACAGAAGTGCACAGCATCGTGTTCCTTTTCTGAAATGCCTTCCCGGCCTTGTGACACATGGGCACGCTTCATATGTCGGCCATCACAAGCTCAACGAAGTGAGTTCTTCTGAGACAAAAGTCTTTGCCCATCTTCCTCCGGCAGGGACCTCTGAGTCGGTGTCCCTGCAATCAGCGACTGCAGTTGGCGCCGAAGCCTCGAGACACGACAACACCGGGACCGCCGGGCATGTGACGGCATGTGGTGCTGCTGGGCCTAGACTACATTCAAACAGTCTAGAGTCTAGAGGTTGAGAAGTTCAATTATCGGAGGGTGAAGCTAGAAAAGCAGGGGACAGAACCTCTTGGGTCCTTCACGCTTGGCCATCTGAGGACGGTGATCCGGGCAGCATCGAGCTGACTACCCCATCGCCGTAACACCCTGAACCTGCTATGAGCAGCAGCGACGTTTCCCAAACCCCCACACGGAAGCTAATCCCTGATCTGACAAAAAAAGCAGGATCTCTGAAGTCTACGTGCCACGATGTGCCGCGTAAACAGGAGCACTTGACTCGTTTCGACTGGCCATCGTTTTTCACCGCAACCTCGCTGAATCGAACGCATATGTACAAGTAGCAGGCAACTACAGTCAAAAATATTTCATCGCCATGAAGGTCGAAACACGTTGGAAATACTTGTCAAAAGGTCCACCTGGATCAGGACCCCAAAGGTGCTCGAGTTGAGGATAGCAGTGAACCATGCCGTGCTCTACAGAGGCATCCAGCTCAACTCCATGTCTCTTCATGTGGCTGGCCAGCCGCTCAATCTGCGACCGGAAAACCTCACAACCACCGTAATCCAATAAAGTCCTTGGAAACGACGTGGGCCAACGTTTGCAACGACCTGGTGAAACCCGAACATCTTCAAGCGGGATGCCTTTGGCATAAATCCCTGCTATAACCTCGGCCTGCTTCGCCGGGATGTAGTCCACATCTGCATATTTCTGCCAAGACTCCTCGGTTGTGTCGGACAAGTCCACCCAAGGAGATAGCAGAATCAAGCCCTCCGGTAGTGGCAAAGGGTTCTCAATACTCTCTGCATCTTGTGCCAGCTCCTGTGTAAGAGAGAGAACAAGGTTGCCTCCAGCACTGTCGCCACCAAGGAAGATGACATCTGCAATGCCGCTCTTTAGGATGCCCCTGTATGCCTGGATGACATCGTTTTTCGGCACCGGAAAAGGGTGGCTTGGAGGCTGACGGAAGTTGACGCAAAAAGTCGGCACGCCTGTGTGCACGACGATCTTCGCAAGGAAAAAGCGGTGTGTGGCCGGGGAGCAAAGCACGAAACCACCACCGTGAGCCCACACGAGGACCTGCTCCACATGAGCGCGTGGCTCAACGGAATCTGGCAGGATCCACTCGCCGCGGACGTCGGCAATGGTGTCGTGGACAATGCGAACTCCTCACTGAAACGCATAGAATCATGGAATGGGCATGCATGGATCACCAAGCCCGCTTGCATGCTGCCTTTAACCCGAATTCTCGGCTAAACCCCGATGGCCTGACGGCATGGACAAGGACGACGCTGTTCGCAAAATTGACTCTGCTAATGGCTTGAGGAACGTTTGAATGGCCTGCTCAGAGCTCAGGAGGGACCTGGGCCAGAGCGGCAAACAGAAGTTTGTGCAGAAAAACACTGCGGTGTCTTCGAGGCACGATCAGATGGAAAAAAGCACATGCCTAGATCCCTAGATGGCAGCCAAAGCCATGTAAGACTTGTCGAGAGGCAAGGGAACTCTGCGAACAGTCTCCCGAACAACAGCGATGGCGCGCTTGAATCGCGATGGCCATGCCCGACCGATCAAGTGATCGCGGTGATGCGAGCTCCAGAAGGGTGACTCATGGCGGCTTCCTTGCCACCAGTCTGCCGCATACTTGACCATGTCATTGGCAAGGACAGTGGTCTTGCGCCGGCTCCGCTTAGCTACTTTCTTGACATTATCTCCCATAATGGCAGCAGCTATGGCGAGCCGGGCCTTGAACGGGCTCTTCTCAAGGGATTCTTCGAATGCCAAGAGATCAGCCCAAAACTCTCCTTCCAAGATCGCGGCTGCAGATGACATGGCCAGAGCCATCTGCACCGCTTCAACTTCGGCGTCATTTTCAAAATATTTCATGCAGTTGTCCCAACAGAGGGCAACGTCTTTGAACATCAGCTCAGGATCGATGAGGCCATCCACATCATCGTAATGTCCCATGTTGAGGCGCTTGCTAATGGTGTGGAGATCCATGGGTGTCTCCACAATTTCTGGGTAATCATTCAAGCCCAGTTCCTGCCAGTTGACCGGCACCAGAAAAGGTGCCCCCTCGGGCTCAAGGGACAGCTTGCTCAGCAGGTCGCTAAGTTGCCTGCCATGACAGAAAACGTGAGGAGGGTCGCCGTGGGCAGCGGGCATGCTTGTTTGCTGCTAGGACCACTCGAGTGACTCTCATAGCGACGAACCAAACCCCGACAGACCTACCAGATGGCTCCTGGCAGCAAGTCTGAATACCCTCCGGCCTGCAGCACCATTTGTGTATTAATCGATCTACATTGAATGCCGGATCGCCCTCCGAAGGCGATCCATGAGAGCTGCTGGGCGAGGCCTCCCCGGATCCCCCCTCGGGGATCTCACCTGGGAGCCCGATCATGCACCTCAGCTCCAGGCTCACTCGGCGACTGTGCCAATCTAGAACTTCATGGCACGGCAACATTGCAGCTCAGCTGGGGACGGGTCATGGCAGAGCCATCTACAATCGCATCTCGGTGAAGGACGCGTACAGGGCGGTAGGCCCGGCAGGAGCCAAAGCTGCGGCTCCAACCCTCTCGGCTCCGCTCAACAGTCACTGCAGTGTCACAGTCAACTCATCTCGCAAAGTGCTGCCAAACGTCCCCGTAGCAAGCCGATGCAATCTTTCGGAAAGTCTGGGCTCCCCATTGTCGTCTCAACATTTTGGGGCCCCGGGCTTTGGAAGAAGGCCAACCCTGAGATGTGAATCGGGAAACCACGAAGGCAGCTCCATCGCATCCGGCCTCACATGCTACAGCCAAGCCAACACATTCCAAGAGGAAACACCAACATTTCTTTCCCTTCGCCATCTCGGGACGTGGCTTCAAGCCAGGAAGGTCCAGCGGAAGCGGCGGGGCACTCTTGCGGACCTCTCGTATCACACTGCTGCTGCTCAGGCAAGATGCGGAGCCGCACTGACAAGCAAAGCATGATCTGTATGGAGCAATGACGTCCTGGCGCCTGCCACTTTAGGCAAACTTCGGATGGCAAACAAAGCAAGAGTCAGCTCGCATGCTTCACAACTCGATCTCCACTTCCGGAGCCGGGCTGCCTGGGCCTGAATCAGCATTTGGGCCGTTCGGACTTTCGGCACCCGCGTGGCTCTCGATGCTCTGCCGGAGCGCGAGGTACCAATCAAAGAGAGCCCCCTCATGGCCGTGACGTTCAACGGCCTCCTCAACCGCACCAAGACCCCCCGCTTCCACCACTGCAAGTCCGGCCTCGTCACTATATCCCGACATGGTTGCCAGAGCAGCTGCACATCTCTCAACGATCTCAAGGTCGTTTAAGCTGTGTGCCAAGGCCATGACCAGGGCTTCTGCCACTTCCGACTGCACTGCTGCCTCAACGACCAGCTCTCCTCCGTGCGCAAAAAGTGCCTGGAACACGCTGGCGCCCCACTTGCACACGTCCGAGGCCCGTCCGTTCTGCAAGATCGATACGATGATGTCCAAGCCATCTGCGGCTGCAATCTCCGTCGCACCCAGCTCACCGTTGGACTCACAGACAGCCCAGAGAACACGCAAGCATGCGACTTGAAGAGGTACGTCTGCCACCAGTGCGGACGTTTCTTCCAGCGTGTCTGTCGTGTTTCCCACCGTCAGGTTCAATGTGGCCAGGGCAGCAGTCAAGCAACCGGTCCTCGTAGCCTCATCGGCGGCATCATCTCCCCCTTCGAGTACCAATGCTGCCAACAAGGAAGCCACTCGTTCCATCAACGAGGGCGACTGGTGGTCCTGGAAAGCAGCGGCGAGCAAGCTCAGCACACCCTCCTGTAACAAAGTGCAGGCAATTACTGTGCTGTCAGAAAACTCATCCGTTCCTGAAATTTCGAGAGCACAGAGAAGCGCGGAAAAACACCAGCGCTGAACATCCACCACCTTTGCATGTACACCAGCTGCTCGGAGCAGCAGCTCGAGATCTTTCTGGCCAACTTGTTCAAACCTTTGGAACAACTCTTGAAAGACGGCCGCTGCCCAGCGCTGCACTTCTGGGCTAGCCAACTGGCTCTCCATGGCAGCTGCAACATGCTCCGAAACGGATGCTTCCAGGACGTCCTCTTTTCCTGCCCTTTTCAGGGCAGTGAGCAGTTGCACGAGGCCATCCCTCACCTCTGAGGGAGACGACCCGCCAAGCGCGGCCAGGGGCCCAACCAGCTCGGCCATCGGCAGAATACATGCAGCTGGAGCACGGAGGCACAAACAATCCACTACCTAATTATACTAATTGTGCCCTCGTCCGACTCTAGCCGCTGGCCTCTGTGGCTTGTTCAGCTACTGAATTTATCTCACTCTGTTTGCCCGGTGGGAGTACAGTGGTCACTGCAAAGAGCCAGTCTCCCACTGCGTGGCATGGCCATATACCCAGCCGGTAAATCTTAAGCGCACGTAGATTGCCTCTTGCAGTTTCTTTGTCTGGCCGGTGGTGAGAGCCGACCCAAACGTCTAAGACACTACGGTCTTTTGAACTTGCGACAACGGCACAGGCCTTGATGGATTCCGCTGCAAGCTGCCAAAGGTGCTTGGCATCAGTCTGTAGCGCAGTCCAAACCTGGGACGAAAATGCGGCGGGAAAAATCTGGGATAACCAGATGTCTTGTGTCGTTCCTGCGGGATCCTGGAAGCACCCAACCGATGCGCATTTCAGCTGAGCTTTCCTCGCTGCCTTCCTGTGCAGGCTGGCAGGCAGACAGCATCGATAGGCAAAATGCCTACCCTGAATATGCCGATCGGAAACCCACAATGCTGTGAGCTCCGTGCCCAGCGGCGGAGGAACCAGCTTTGCAGCTCCTGCTTGGCTTTGACATTCAAATCAAGGAAGTCGCGCGTTCCATGAACTACTAGGATGACCGCACGCTGCCTCCACCCAAAGTGCATAGTCTTGGGTTAGGAGACTGTCATGGACCATCGGAGCATCTGTTTCCGTCGCTAAGTCGCTTCGTCACTCTGGCGGACCCTATAGGAGTCAGCGAGTTAATCAGGCTCTCCTCAATGGATGTCTTCTGTACAAGGCATTAACAAGGCAAGTGCTGCCTTCCGAGAGCTGCACAGCCTCGACGAGACTTTTCCTCATCAAGGGTTGTCGGCAGCCGCTATGTCGCTCATGCTATGGAGAAGAATGGAAACACGCGCGTGAAAGCCATCGCTGCGTTTTGCAGAAGGGTGGCTGCTGAGCTGTTCCAAGACAGGCACCAAACCCTCTTTGTACATAAGCTCGCAGTTTGCTGGGAGCCCTGAGAGCATGATAAGCAGCAGTAAGGCCTGGTAGACGAATTCCAAGTTCATGTCTGTATCGTGGTCTTTCAAGCCTTCGATTAGGTGCGGTATCGCCCGTGTCCCGACATAGTGCTTTTGGTCGTTGCGACTTGCGCACAGCTGCTTCAGAGCAAACATCACCTTGCTGCAAAGCGTGCACCCCATCCGGACAGTGTTGAAGATGTACATCAAGCACTTCGCAGTGTGGGGGTAGATGTCCTGAGCAGAGGGGCGGCAGATGCAAGCGTAGCGGTAGCTGCACTCCGCATGTTTCTAGATCTGTGTCTGTTCCGTCAAATTCCTTTGACAAGAACCAACCGAAGAGAGCGACACCACATCCGAGCTGACAGTATGTTCACCTGAAGCAGGAATAGTTGTTACGGCCGCCGCTGCTCGAATGTGTGTCCAGCTGATTGTGCCTTTCGCTGCGAGCCTCGCATTCTGCCTGCATGTAGGTCTTTGCAGCATTGAGTATGTGGGTGGAGCACCCTGGGTCACCCTCCAACGGACGACGCCAAAGCCCCTGTTTTGCCATCATGTCCTGTCCTGCATCTGTCACAACGCTCGACCGCCGGGGTTAGAGGTGGCACCGCAGGGCTTCCAATAAGGAAGCCGTCGCCTACACCCCGTCGACTTCCTGCAATCAGAGAAAGGCAAGTGCAGACAAGAGGCGATGAACTGCTCCCGGAAGCGGTCGTCGTTGCAGAATTGGCCGATCACAATACAGGTTTGAGTGAGCAATCTTTCCTTGGCGATGCTTCCCAAGGCCGCTGTACTCATTCCTTGTGCCTTTTTGCCGGTAGGCCGGACCTGCGCATACGAAGATGTCATTATGTCGTAGAGGATCGGTATAAGACCCGCTGAAGCGATGACGCTGCGATTATGAGGCTCCTTCGTCAAATTCACCATTAACATCAGGGTGTAATAGCTGAGGTCATCTTCCTTGGCTTGCATGTTCTGCACTGCCAGCTTTGCCATCCCCTGGCCCATGAGGAGCATCTTCACTGCCTGGTTCCCACTGCTCAAATTAACCAAGGCCGCGGAAGCATACGTGGCGAGGAAACTTCCCCCGGTCCTGAGCAAGGAGAGCATCGCAGGAACAACGATGAGGTTTGCAGAGGAGTCGTCATCCTTCTTTGTATCTGCTTCCCGCGATGCTTTCATCTCCATGAACAACCTGCAGATGTACGCCTTTAGGGTCACCCCACAGCCCGCCTCCAACAGGTTTGCCAGGCAGCGAAAGAAGTCCGCGTCCCGACCCTTCCCTATCTGCTTCTTGAGGAAGTCGGTGCTAAGGACTGCCAGCATTACCCTATCGTTGAAGGCCCACTGGCTCAAATTTCGACCCCTCATCTGCTGCGTCAGGCTCACTTCCAAGAATGGCTTGGTCATGTCGCGGGTTCGAAGATGCAAGAGGAACAAGAATGCGGCATAGGCTTTTTTGTAGCTCTCTTCTGTCAATGCAGAAAGTCCTCCACATGCAGAAGCGCACTTGGGTCGCGTGGCGGCAGCATGGGTATATGATTGCTTGAGAGTTGTGAGGTTGCTCGCACTAGCATCTAAACCATGGTCCCATCCTGGCATAATTCAGTGCCTACTGGCTCCGTGCTCTCTTCGAGCGGAGTGATAAGAATCGGTCGATGTACGTTTGTTTGTGCTGTGACCTGATTCTGTTATCCAGTGTGTGTGCTCTCGTGTGTGTGTGTGTGTTTTGCTTTTGTTAGCTGCGCCACGGACTGTCTCAATCCCGGCATTTCACTGGGTCCTTCGATCATCAGGTCCAAGTTGAACCGTGCCCCCAAGAGCCCACCATCGACCGCCCAAGCAAAGTAGCGGGCAATGCGGGCAAGCCAGCTGTGCTGGATCTTAAGTTTGGCCTTAGCTGCTGCTGGCAGACTCGACTGTTAAGCTCTGGCAAGAATGCTCAGCAAGAAAAGCTCGCTGGTCCGTTACATGCACATACGCATGCAGGCCGCGAACATATCCTGCTACAGTAATGGCTGCATACCTAGCAAAACACGGGCTGTAAGGAATGGCCTCTTCGTCAAGGGCCTCCGCCTGAACGCCTGACGGAAGACCCTCTCCCTCCTTCATGAGCTTGAGGAAGAAGTCGTGAAAATTGTCAATGCATTCCAGTTGGCCCCATTGATCCTCAGGGCCTGCATCCACCAGCACTTCTTGAGCGGAAAGCTCCAGGACTTGAGGGTCGTAGCCTTCCACCTTGTCATCGCAGTACAGCTTCCAAAGGCTCTTCACAAACCTCACTGCCTCGACTTCCCAGCACGACTTCAGCTTCAGGTGAGCAGCTGCCCATTCCGCCCCTTCTTCGTTGAACCGAAGCGTGTCCAGCTTGGCTTGTACCATGTCACGATACACTGAAACGTTCGGAGCGTCCGTGCAGAGCGAATCAGCAATCCGGTATGCTTCCAGCACCAGAGGAAGTTCTGCACGCTTCCACTCTTCCTCCGGGCAGCGAAGGAGGACAGCAATGTCTTGTGCAGCGCAGCAAACCGGTGGAATGTACTGCCGACGCATGATGAGACAAATGATCGTTGCCGATCGCGTACGGATTAACAGCTCCCACTGGTGCCACTGTGCGACATCCGCAGAAAGATTCATGTGCTTGTCCCGCGGGGCATTTTTCAAGACGTAGAACTGCGCTTCGTGAGCACACAGCTGCATCTTGTAGTCTGCTGCGACCCATCGAATGTTGTCCCGATTCATCTGCGAGAGCTGCTCTAGACTAAAAGCCTCATGCACATGCACAACAAGGCTCACGCCTTGTTCGTTCACATACTCTCCCGTCTCCTCTTCCTGAATAGAGTTAGCCTGGTCAACAAAACCTTCTGGCACCATAAATCGGTATCCCTGGAACTTTGTCCAGCGATATCCCTGGTACGGCGCGACGTAATTATCGTAAGAAGTCTCCTTCGTAATTGGATGAACGCTTAATGGGAAAATCACCACCCGACCTAGCCGCCACATGTGGTCTGTTTGCCAATTGCATCGGAAGTGTCGCAAGAAGAGGGAGCGGTTTTCAGCTTTCAGAAACAACCTGTCGGAGGGCCATCCTGGTAGCTCTTCCGTCAATGACAGCAGGCAGTGCTGGTCGGAATTCTCATCCTGGAGTATTTTGGCAATAGAGCTGTAGTAGACATCTGCATCATCATGGATGGGCCCATTCAGGTCCTGCCTCAGGAAGAACAGAGAGTGCTTTCCGACACAGACATAACACTTTCGGCGATCATCTCCACAGGTCAGCTGGATTAGCTCGAAATAGCGGACATCGCCTCCAGTCTTCATGGTTATCGCTGCTAGGACTTGCTTGTCGCTCGCCATGGCTTTCCGATGCCTCGAACATGAAGACCGGGAAGGAAGCACAAAGCACGAAGGCGAGCAAGCCGACGGCTCGCTGACTAAAGTGGTTGTAGACTCTGTAGACTCCGGTTGTTGGCATGCAGGGCATGCAGTTGTCTGATATGCGTGTCTTTCTGCGCGGTGGGCCCATATGGCTGCACGGTTTGCAAACATTGCATAACATTGCCGCTAACATTGCCTTCTGAGACGTCTTGTGCTACAGATTCGTGGCATGCAGACCCCAACACACGTTCATCCGTTTGCCGGAACAGAAAAAAACCGGCATCGAGTCCTGATTCTTCAACGGCCTGGCCGCACACACACTGGCTTCTCGCTGCTGGGACTCGATAACAAACCACGAACACAACGCTACTGCTACTGCTGCTGCTGCTGCTACTGCGACTGCTACTGCTGCTGCTGCTACTGCTACTTGCGAGTACTAGTACCAGCACTAGTACGAGTACCACTACTGCTGCTGCTACTGCTACTGCGACTGCTACTGCGACAGCTACTGCTACTGCTGCTACTGCGAC